GGTAGAGTTGTCCCATTTGTGAGGTGTGCATSGAGGTCAAATGTTTGGTTCATGTTTCATTTTTGTGGTCTTTTGCAAATTGTATTCATTCCATTCCTGCCRTGTTCCTGGCAGAAAGGGATGAGTGATACCATAACACAAGTAATGCCCTCATTTCTTCAGCTTCCCTGTGACACACAGATATGGGATTGCCACTTGTTTTTGTGGTTTTTGGCAGAAATAGTCTTTAACTGCAGCCATCAAAAGCATATTGAACTCATGTTGGYTATAATTGCTAAGGTGCAGAAGCTGCTTTCTAGAGATGCCAAACACCTGGGAACTTCATTTGAAATGGCAGTGTTTGGTGCATGTAAAACCAAGTTTACAGCGGAAGGGAGCGCTAGGAGGAGGAGCCATTTGTATTTCCATTGCTCTCCCTCTGCCTTGCAGGCATCTCTATGCAGTGGTGCTTTCCATGAGCATTTTGGTGCCATATTGCAGTCCCTGGGTTTCCAGTGCAATCACAGAGCTGTTCCACCCTCTCCAAGGTTAGAAGGTGTTTCCTAGCTTGCAGCTTCAACTTGTGGGCAACCTATACCTGCTGCCAGCATCATCAAGGAAGAAAGGCAGGATGCAAAGGCTGTRTTTTAATTAGGCTGCAATCTAATTAACTCACCTGTGAACAAAGGCAGACTTCACACTGTGATTTTCTTTCTCATTCCTGCCTCTTTGGGGATTTGTTACCAATCTTTCCCTCTCTGTGGGAAGAACCTGGAAGCCAGGAGTTTTGAGCTCTGTTTCTGGCAGTGCTATTGATTCACTTGTGACTTTGTGCAAGTCCCTTTGGGTTTTGCTTCTGGGGCTTTTCAAACGTAGGAGAGGGATGAACACTCTTCTTTCATTTCTCAGCATTGATTGTGAGCCCTAATTAACACTTAGAAAGCAAGGGGCTTTAGACTACAGTGGGCTGCCGATGTATATTGCAATGGCAGTAGAATTAACAAATAATAGTACCTATGGTACAGGAGTTCCCACACTGCATATTCCAATGGTTTATTTTCATTATTTGTTTACTGCATGCAATCTATATTGTCATATTATAGATCTCCTTCATTTTTCATTACTGCTTCAGAAAAACCTGGGTAGAAAATACTAATATTTTCCCTCCTAAAGTACTGACTTAATTGTGCTGTGATCTCAGGTAATGGGAAGCTCTTAGAGTGTCCTACTGTTCTTTGGCTGCCTGTTCTCATGTTCCAGCCCTCCCATCATGGCCCTGCTCACACGAGAATGGGATGGTTCTAACCAAGTAGTCTGACTTGCCATGCAAAATGGATCACAAACTTTTATCTAAAGATATCTACTTCAATCTCAATAATTTCTGCTTAGGATAGAGCTGGTCATTTACACAGATATCCAGCAGGGATGCAGAAACTGTAAGCCACTCATGGCTGAGCCATTCTTTCTGGCTCTCAGCACACTCTGCAAGATACTTGGCTGTTCTTCTTTKGAGGGAGAAGCCAGGGTATGTATATGTTGGATGGATATTTTTGTATTGATGTCTTCTTATCCAGATAGTGGTAGCATCACTAAGAATCTCCTGAGATCTTAAGTGTTTCCTTAACTCTTATCCTTACCCTATCAGGGAAACATGTTCACTTTACTTAAAGAATTTGTGTAACAGATTATAGACTGGATCTGCCTGATTTATTTCCAGCAGCTGATGAGACCAGAGAGTTTGGGATATTGGGGAAGGCACAGAATTTTTCCCCTGCTAGGAAGGGGACAGGAGCCCATGATACCAGTGTGCTCTGCATCTGGAGAGCTCCACACCCCACAAAGTGGCTTTGGAAAGGTTAATGAAGGGAGAAGGTGCCAGCAGATGGCACTCATGAATACACAACATTGTCTCAGGGTTTTGAAGGGCCTCAATCATTTCTGGCATGTGTAGCAAAAGGTGCAGAGTAGRGCAGAATTCACCTGCTGAATTCAGACACTCCTGTAGGGCAGGTGGTCAGTGCTGCATTAAGCAGAGAGCCTTGGGTTAGTCAGACCCTGTTTCCTTTCAGAGCAGCTCATCTTTCCAGGCCAGGTGGGTACAAGGACCCTGAGGGATGTAGTGATGCAGCCCCTCTGCTTCAGTGATGACTGGTGTCACCACCAACATCTGGGGTTTTTTGAGAACAGGATGGCCTACACAGCACCAGGCACGCTGGCCCCATGGAATGGCACATCCCTGCCCAGTGCCCCTCTGGTGGGGCAGACTGTCCAGATGCTGAGCAGTGAAATGGGTAGGCAGAATTGGGGCTTCATGCTGCTGGCACTCATTCCTGGTGGGGTGAGCAGTGATGTTCAGCTTTTATTAGAAGACAAAAGTGGCATCACAGGACATCTGAGGGCACATTTTCAGCAGTCAGTGAAGGCAAAGTACAGGCTCTATTTCTGAGCCAGAAGAACAGTCTGTTCCTGGTCCATGGGACTTGTCAGCCCAGCAAAGATTAGTGAGGCTAAAGCAAAGGCTGTAAAGCTCCTCCTGCCCAGCACTGGTGAGAGAAGGTGATAAGGGATTCATTGTGCAATCAGGAGATAATTGGCAGCAGTAGGATGAAGCAATGCCAGTCTTTCTGCCATAGCAATTGTCCGGACATTTTGTTCACAGCTGTGATTCACCTTGCTGAGCAGTCAAWCTCTTGTGGACCATGCAGTGTTTAAAAAAGAGTGTGGCTGCCACACATGGGATTGCCCAAAACTGTGCAGGACTGAGTGTGAAAATCCATTTTGCTTGTGGAAAGCTTGGGGGAGGCAGGTGGTGAAGGGCGAGTCAGCCTCCTCCCTCCCTGCAGACACCAGCAAGTGTGGCTAAGGCTGTAGTCACTTATCTCCTTGGAGGAGGAGGAGCTGGATTTCAGGTGCTTCAGCCTGAGCTGACAGATCAGATCTCTTATGGGAAGTAGAGCCCATGCTTGTCATCATGTGATGACAAGCTTGAAGCGGCAGGGGTGGGTCTCTGTGGTGATTTCTGTGTGGAAGAGYGAACAGAGAGGTTTTGGCTTCGCTGAAATGCATAGTGCTTGTTTTACCTTCTTCTTGTCTCATACTGCAGCTCAGGCTCGATGTTCTGCCCTGTGCACAGGGTGAGTGGGATGAGGCTGGCTGTGCTAGCCCTRACTGTAGTTGACCTGCAGGTGTCAGCTCCAAGGAGACAGTGGGGTCAGGGTGACTGGGCTTGGCTGAGGTGGTCCCTTGGGAGCTTCAGTCCAAGTCAAGGGGAGCTGAAATATTAGTGATGRCAGCAGCAGAAGTCTCTGCTGGCCAGCTTTGAGTCTGTGGCCATGTGTTACTTTGTCCTGGAAAGAGTGAGTGTGCCCTGGAGCTGCATCAATTCCAGAGCTTTGCCCCAAGGAGCTGCTCTCCAGAAATCAMTCCTTACCTGCATCTGCAGGGCTTTGTAGAGCCCTCTGAGACATTACAAAGACATGTGCCAGAAGGATGGTGTTCCTCTGGTGATGAGGAATTTATTTGGCATTTCCTCCCCTGCCTTGCTGAGACTTTCTGAACTTCTGGGATTTCCTCCCCTCACCACGGGACAGCAGTTGTTCCCGCTGGGGCAAGCATCCCTCTCCTCCTGGAGCAGTGGCTCTCCCCTGGGCTGTGCAAGATAATTGGGCTGTTCCCCTGGTGTGGACCAACGACTGTGCAAGGCCACTAACGAGAAGGAGCCAGGGTAGCAACAGGATTAAAAATATGTATGAGCAAACATCTTGTTTCGACTGCAAGGATGCACTGAAGCGTGAGAGTCTGGGTCCCRCAGAAAGCCAGAGGCAGAGTGGATTGGCAGCTGCACTGTAAAGCCACACTGGCAGCAGGGCAAAGGGAGGGCAGGAGCCCAGTCTTATTTACACTGGTGTAAGCTGGAACCCCCTCTTATTTACAGTGGTCATAAATCACCTGTTACATTTGATGCATCTTGTTAGCTGGAGTCCAGTGTGGATACGTGGCATCGGGGAGCAGGTGGGATACCCCCAAATCCAGTACTGGCCTCTGGCTCTGCTCCTCTCTGACAGTGCCCTCCATATGGGATGGGATCTTTCATTGTAAAGGTTGTCTGTATGGAATCATTACCTGCTTGGTTTTTTTTGCGCAGTCTCCATTTACTATCATGATGTGGTCAGTCTCTCAAAGTTAATGTTCTTCCTTGGGACCAGCTTCCTGAAATCTTGTTTGAATGTCTCACTTAATCAGGTTTCAGAGGAATCTTTCTCTTCAGTAGTTGTAAATTGTTCATACCACACAGACAGTCTCAGAACTGCTGCTGTAGCTGGTATTGGGCACCCTAAAGAAAAGAGGGGCACTTCATCCAGTGCAGTTGGTGCCTGTGTGCTACAGCAGAGAGCCTTGAACTTTTAATCCAGTGTCAACCACTCTGCCTGRTCAGCAGCTAGAGGGTTTCTTGCATTTTAATTTTCCAGGTCACAACCCCAGTAAGCTTGGGAAGGGTATTCTCTAAGTCAAGACACACATTGTCTATCATACTTTTTTTAATTGTAAGCCTTCAGTCTTGCAGGCTGGTGTGGAAGTGCACAGACAGCCCTTGTCTCTGCTTTTCTAGTGCTGGGACGGCACTGCCCTATGCCAGCCTGCTTAACTGTCATGGGATGTTCTCCAGGCAATGAAGCCTTCATTTGTGGGAAGGGAACCACATAAAGACCTTTTTCTTCTCCAGGCCCTGGGGGCTGATGTTATGCTGATGCCTATGGTACCTTTGCATTGCAGCACACTGGGAGCCCGCATTCTCCAGCCCTCACAAGCCATTGTGCAGAGCTGTGTGTTTGCCATCCATGGCATGTCTGTTCATGTTCACCCATGACACCAGTGGAGCTGTGAAATCAGAGTTCATATTGATCTAATGTGAGGTTAATTCTTAGATCCACAACATTTGTGGTGGGAAAAGTGGATTTTCAAGGGAGAGCTGAATGAGCAGGAGGAGGCACATGGACCTAAGGATACACTTTCATTTGCAGAAGGGGAAGGAACTACTAAAGATGAAAGCCGTCTCAGCTGTCTCATCTGCTTTGAAGGATTAACTCAGACCCTCCCCTGTGATGCCACAGCTGAAGGCCCAGGGTTTCTGGAGGGTACAAACCTTTATGAGTGTGTCTGTGCTACAGACCAGCCAGAGGTAAGTCAGCCTGGGCTTGGAGTCTGACTTGACTGGGTTATGATGATTGACAAATTGAAAATAAAGTAGAGCCTTTCCTTTTCAGCTTATCTGTTTCTGGATGTACGTCTGTATCTCATCCTGTTTTGTAGTGCATTGCTGCACCCTTCACAGCTTGGCTCCCTTCCTGCTCCCACAGAGCCTGGTTCAGGGCTCATAGGGAAATCATGGACTTCAGTGGCATCAGACTTTCCTGCTTTCACCAGAATACCCTGAAGGTAGCAGGAGATGAGGTATGGCAAAGTTTCCCTGGCAGCTGCTTGACACTGCTTCCCTTCCACAGCAAACAGCACTCTAGTTTCAGTCCAGAATCATCCCTGTGTGAAATCTTCTGGTGATGGAGTACAAAACAGAGGTCTGAATCTCTGCCTAAGCCATTTTTGCACAACTGCATTCAGTGGAAAAGAGCCAGAGAGGAAGATTTTTTTATTGCAAACATGTCTGGTTGAGAAACAGGTATTCAAAAGATTCAATAGTGGTCTCAATRTAAAAGCTGTTAATTCCATTTAATTTTCTAACAGCCTTATTGGTTTGAATCAGTTCATTTTCATACCTTYCCTTTGGATGTTACCTTCATGTGGTTTTGATGTTTTTGAGATGTTTTGGATAGTCACAAATTAAATCCTGGCTTCCATATTCAGCATTTCTAAAACCTTAGGATGGCAAGTACCACCAATGGTTTACCCCTTTCCAGTCTGTACATCAAGGTGGGAGCTCAGCAGGTCTCCCGCTGTCAGAGCTGAGCTCAGGTGTCAAGAGCTGAGAGCTATGCAGGCAGGGCTGCTTCACACTTACTCCACCTTAGTGCTCCAGTAATTAGTCTTAACGATTACATCGAGGTGAATGTAAATTAAAACCCCAGATCCAGACACTGCCACAGTGTGGCTAAGCCTGAATGCAGCCTGTAAAATGGTGACATTTCACCTCTTGAGCCTCTAGTTTGATATCTCCTGGCAGGCACAAGAATTGGTAGCGCTCCTTCTCACAAGTAGTTGGGGAGAAATTGGAGAATTGCTTGTATAAAAATCTAGTATGTTGGCAAATGCTTTTCTTATTAAAACAAAGATAAATAGCCTGGAGAATGGTTTTGATATGTCTCATCCACTTCTAGACATTTTGCAAGCTCAAAACAGAGGCACAGTGATGTGTGGCTGTTCCARTGAAGAATCACTGTTGAATGACAMCTATTTTTGGAGAAGATAAATTTRCTGCACTTGCCCATCTTGCTGTGGTGGTTTCACTGTCAGATTGTGCCTTTAAAGTGAACTGCACCGTAGTCATGCATAGCTGTTCTTACAAGGGAAGGGATCTCTCATCTCTGCTGAGTGCAGGGGGTTGGGCAGGCTCATGTATCCGTAAATCTGGTGTTTGTGCTGGGCAGTGATGGCTTGGCCACACTCCTCCGGGTCRGGGTTACTGTGCTGCCTTTCAGAACCTTCTTCTCTGGTGCCATGAAGGACTGGAAAACATKCTGTGCTGTTTGGATAGATAGGGTGAATCTTGGCTTTCTCCATCCCAAGGACAGATTGAATTCAACATCTTGAGCAAATGAAATTCAGCAGGCAGGCAGGTCATCTTTGCTTGTGTTCAGTCAAATGGGATGTTCCTCATGAAGGAGCATGGCWGATATTTGACAGGACTGGACTTTACAGGGATTCTGAAAAATTCTGGATGGCATTGGTGTTTCTGCAGGGAGCTGTGATGTGTTCTGTTTACAAGATGTGTTAAGGTAGGGCTTGATGCATTCAAGCTGTTAGTCCTGCTACTCCTGTTGGAAGATGATTTAAATTGCAATTTACAAAAAAACAGGGGCCTGGGAGTGACACTGGGGATACCTGGGAGGCAAAGCCAGTGRGAGGTTACTGTGCAGCTGCCACTGAGCTGCTGCCCAACCTGAGCAGCTCTTTGCCTCAGTTTCCCTTCTGCTGAAACTAGAGGAGTAGTGCTGCTGGGCTGTAGAGCTTCTCATGGGGAAGAATCACTAAAGGCAGCTCAAGTAGGATTGCAAAACACGTGTATGAGCAGTGTCGGCTCATATTGTTTCCCTCTTGAAAACCTTCTTCCAGGATGGGGATCTCCTTGCAGACATTCCTGTCCTTTCTGAGAGAGGCAGGATTTGTGAACCTGATGCCTATTATTAATCGGAGAGTATTTGTTATATGTAATCCACTGTATCTTTGTCTTAGCTTTGGATTTTATATCACACACCTCCCCWGAGTAGGAGAGCACTACATTCAGTTTTACTAGTTCCTGGAGGTGGATTRTATCCCACTTGATTGTTTACAACAGTTGTGAAGATTCAACATCATTTTAATGAGGTATAGCAGTGGTATATTAAGAAATGCATCTATTAAATGCAGTCTTTAGTAGTTGATTGGTATTTAATTGGCATGTGTTAATGGTCCTATTACATCTCAGTTAAATCCACAGTTGAAACACTAATTTTGTGTAGGGAAATCATGGTTTGAGGTAAAAATGTGTACTAAAAGTACAGCAGCTTTTAATATAAAATCTTWGTTAAAGAAAGTCTTAAGTGTATTAATAAAGTCTTATGCTGACTTTAGCAAGTGTTTACAGTAGATATTTTTCAAACAGATAAAATCTACATAAAAGACACATTCTGTCAATGCTGTAAGATTCATAAGGACTTATCTATGGAGGTGATTTCTGTATCCTGTTAGGGAAGATTCAGACCTCACAGTTTTACAGGAAAGTTGGTTTTTTTTTTAAGTGTGTTATTTAGCATGAAGGTGGCATTCTTCTCCAGGAATTTGGTCCTGGGGATCAGAAATTTGTCAACCAAGCTTCTCTGAGCTGTGGTGTTACTGGCATCCATGAAGGTTTCAGACTGCAGCACCTTCATTCACTGTTACTGCAGCCACAGGGAGGTACCTCATGGGTCCCTTGAGCGTAGGGTGAATGAAACCCTTGTTTTACAAGGACAAGGTGAAGGATAAAGTTTCTTGGGGTGAGAAGACTGTGCATGTGTAGATCCCAGGGGAAGACACGGTGTTTGGTGCCTTGCATGACCCCACAGGTTCAGTCTTCAGGGSACATCTCTGTCCTGTCTTGCACCTGAGAATACTCAGCACAGCATTCATGTATGAGTTCTCTTTGAATGAGCTGCATTGCTGCACGTCTGTGCCCTGCCCTGAGCAACATTTGCAGGACAGGAGTGRGAAGTATTCTAACCATTGACAGAAGTTACCTGCAAATGGGGTAAACTAAGGCACAGAATCTTTCAGTGCCTTACCATCCAAGAGGCAGCACGTGAGAGCAGCAGCACGGTGGGAAGGTGTCTGTGTGCCAGCCTTACTGTGTCACCTGTCCCAGGCCGTGCTACTGCCCCGTGCCCACGCGAGCCCTGGGCACCTTTACTGCTCGGCAGCTTGAATTAGGCAGTGCCCTCCTTGCTCTGTCTTTGTGTGTATCAGCGTATCCCAGATGCCAGAGCTGAGCAGTTGGGACCCCTGGCTGCTGGCAGGCAGCCTGCCTGTTCCCATCGCTACGTGTCGGTAGGTGGTTCCTGGCTAATGAAGCTCCTTTCCAAGGGAGGCTGTTGACGTGCTCCAGCATCGCCAGATGGTCCCCTTACCTCTTCTTCTCTCACGCTCCCTCGGAAACATTAACGATCCCGAAACCTCTCTGATGGAGGGGCTCCTTTTTGTGACAACCTCATTACGTGGTTATCAGAAGCTGCCACTATCCAGGTTGTCAGGACAACCAGSCTGACTCAGAGCCGCTGGGAAAGGTCTGAACCTCAGGCAAATAACCATCCCCAGCTCCCAGCAGATGCTCACCCGCAGCCAATCGCCGGGGTGCTGGGAAGCCATCACATCACGGGCCAAGCAGGCCCCCAAATTTAATTGTTTGCTTTCAGCAGCCYCCRTGTCCCCTCCCCCAGRGCTCCCCACATAAGCCCCCGGCACAGATAATCGGGAGCTGCTGTGGTGCCATTTCAGACCCCCCTGGAGCTGCCTGGGCTCAGCAGGGCCGTCAGAGGGGCCCCCACAGCCCCCCATAATGCAGCCTTGGGGAGGGTGGGACTGTGGGGCCCAGTGCTGGTGCCTCAGCAGCCTGGCACAGGGGAAAACTGCAGGGAAATGTAATACCCACAGCTCTTAGGGGACAGAATAGGTTGCTTCTTATTGGGGTTTTGTTGATGGGGATGGATTGATGGTCAGAGTTAATTTTATCTTAAGCTCTCTGGCAGCTACCWCTGAGTGTGGGAGATTATTGGGATCTTTAATGGGATACCCTCTTCCCATGAAAACCTACTGACACCCATCAGCAGTCAGGCTGTACTGCTCAGATTGTGTCAGGTTTGCCAGGAAGGTGTGATAAATATAGCAGAACCAGTTCTGGTGTGGATGGAGACTGCCCACCTTCTTGCCCTGCTGAAGCAGTGGGGTTTGCTCTGTGCCCTTATGCCTTYACTAGGGCATATCTGAGCCACCTCTGGAACCACAAATCCCATTAAGGTTCCATTTTATATGCACTGACCTAGGTATCCTGCAGATGTGTATCTGCAGAGCTTTCCTGAATTCCTGCCCTGCTTGAGCACATTCCCCATGAAAGCAGGATTAGGCAGCTCTTTGAAAGGATTCCTCTTTTTGCTCAAGAGAGACTTTTTTCACTCACTGGCCATCCCAGCTAAGTGTACATTTGGTTTCTGAAAAATGTTGGTGCTGGTCCTTTGCTGAGATGTTCAGCCTTGCACACCCCTCTGGCACAGGGAAGGGCGCTGGTCAGGCAGTGCAATCTGCAGCTCTGCAGTCAGTCTGGGAGGTTCTATCTGATCAAATTTAAGGGGTGAGGTTACCTGGCACTGGGCTTTTGAAGTCCTCAGGCATATTTTGGAGGCTACAAGAAGGCTATTTGTTGCTCAGAGCTAAAATTTCTTTGCTTTGCTAGGTGTTRGCTACCTGACCCTGAATTTCCGTGGGGTTGCATCTTCAGGG